TCGTTGACAGGATAAAAGGACAAAGAGCAAAACTCTCTAGCACACAGCAAAGGGCTCAAAAAAAAAGTTCCTTTTTTTCGGTCTTCAAGGCTAAGGCAATTTCTTTTAGCATCACCCTACAGCCTCAATGTGCTCCCGGCCGAAACACATAAATATCGCTGAGCAGCTTCCAGACACATCTGTGGTCAAACAAATGATGTATGTCTCCAGCAAGGCCAACCATAACTCCACGTCAGGGAGCCATTTTTCCCAGTCAAGAAAATGAAAAGGTGTACGAGATGTAAATGAGTAAATACCCCTCCCCGAGATCCCCCTTTCCCAGGACGGCCCGATCCCGGTATGAAGACGCATTCACCACACGCAAAGACCTTCCCTTCTCCCACCTCACCCAGCCAGCTAGTGGAGAGGTGGGTGGAGGTCGGTGACTGGGGAGGTCGGGGGGGCATGGGACTCAAGGCCCAAGACCGGGGCTCGCGGGGGTGGGGGGTAATGCGGGCTGGACAACCTCGGGGAAGCTTGGCATTGGGATTTGCGGTTCGAGGGCGGGGATCGGGCCTCACCTTCGCCCGCTTGCGCCGACTGGTCCGTCGCCCCTCCGGAGTCTCTGCGATTCCCGTTTCCATGGGGGTCGCAGACCCAGGCACGACGGTAGGCCCAGCTTGAGGCCCGGCGGACCCCGGCGGCTCAGCCAGGCCCCCGGGGGGCGAGGCCCGCGGGGGCTCCTTCTTGCGGGGAGTGCGCTCCCCGGCCGCCCCCGGCCCGGCTTCGGCAGGGCCGGACAGGCCCGCGGGCGGCGCGGCCACCTCAGAGCCGTTCTCCGAGCCGCCCGCTGCCCCGGCACCGGCCTCCGACCCGGCCGCCGCCGCCGCTGCCGCCGCCGCCGCCGCCGCCGCCGCGGCTGCTGCCTTCTTCCCAGACAACATCTCGGGCCGCCTGGCTGCGGACGGCCGTAAGGGCCGCTCGGTCTGTCGGTCCGTGAGTCCGGAGTCGCCTCGCTTCACTTCACACAGTCCGCGCGCTGCCAACCGCCGCCGCGTATGCACGCGCTAAGCGCGCTCCGCGCGCTCCCGCCGCGCCAGAACAATAAAGCCCGAGACGCCCACGGCCCCGCCCTCCCCGCTGCCATAGAGCGGCGTCCTCGAGGCTAGAGCGGCGCCATGGCAAATTGCACGAAGCTTTCCTAGAGCGTCTCCTTAGCCGTCGGGGTCGGTCCCAGCACGGTCCCCATTCTAGGGCTTCTGGGCCAGACTGTACCTCCGAGAGCAACCATTTCCTCCAGGGACTTGCGTGTATTCATAAATTCACTCGTTCATTCACTCATTCATTCATTCACCTACTCATTCGTCAGTTCAACCAATATTTATTAATGCTTACTATGTGACAAAGGTTTAATTATGAAGTTCTTGCTCTCAAAGAGTTTACAGGGGAAAACACTGATACGCAACTGGTAGATCATCGTATTTACTATTCATAATTGTCCTGCTTCGACTGGGGAAATCTTGGAGAGCAAATGAGTTTCGAGGTAATAAAATGGACAAAAGTTAGGAAATCCAGATATGAGTCCAGACGGGATTGCCATTGCCTCCGGGGCTTTGTTCATGCTCTGTCTTCTGTCTGGACCCCCTCCCCATTTGCACTTCCTCACTCGCACCTCTTCCCACTCCTATGCTCCCATCCCCACATACATGACGGCTTTTCACTCCAGGTTAATTCTTTCTAATGTCGCTGATGGTGGTGGCGGTTTATTCTTTTAATACCTCCAGGAATCCTTCACTGACCCAACACTGGAACAGGCCTTGTGTTCTTCAAGCTTATTTCCTCTAGGACACAGAGCTGTAATCGCTTTTTTACAAGTTTGTGTCTTCAAAGTATAATTCTCAAAAAATACTTCCATTTATACGTGAAGTTCAAGAACTGGTAAAACTAATCTCTAGTGATAGAATCCAATCAGTGGTTGCCTGGGATGAGGGTGGGGGGTGACTTCAAAAGAGCTGGAAAGGACTTGCTGGGGGTGATGGAAATGTTTTCTATCTTGACTTGGGCGTGTATACATTAGTCAAAACTCATTGAACTACACACGTAAAATAGATGTATTTTATTTTATGTCGATTTTACATCAAAGAAGTTGAAATTTTTTTTTTTAAACTAAGCTAACAGAAAAAAAGAGACAATTAAGTTCAGGAAAACTAAAAGCTATGCCAGAAAGAAAGTGTAATCATAATACAACACATGGTTCAGCTGTGAACTACACTGACAGGTCTATAATAACATAAGCAATGAATATTGTTTTAACCAAAGGGATAGAATTATATGGGGAGAATGGAGGAAAGAGAAACTTTGTGGAGGAGAGGGGTGAGAGGGGTTTACAGAAGAGGGGACAAAGTGGGAATGGAGGCGGTTCTACATAGGAGCTAAATGCCCAGATTCCATCATGAAAAGATAGTATATAATTTCAAAATTGAGAAATTCAGAAATAACAGTATAAGCATACTACTCAGATATATCAAGATAAATACCAGGAGAAATAGCTAAAAGAGTTGAAATTGGTTGTTTGAGTCGTAGAATGTGAGGGTGGGAAGGGATGAGATAAGAGATGGAAACTTGTTTGTTTTAAACCCTGTAGTTCTATCTGACTGGCTTGCATGTTTAGTAGTTTGATAAAATTTAAAATTAGATTTTAAAAATATGCATATCCTTTGACCCAACAATCCCACTTTCAGGAAAACATTCTAGGGAAATGTTTAAGTATGTGTAGAAAGATTTAACTTTAAAGTGTTGGGCTTCCCTGGTGGTGCAGTGGTTAAGAATCCACCTGCCAATGCAGGGGACATGGGTTCAAACCCTGGTCTGGGAAGATACCACATGCCGCAGAGCAACTAAGCCCGTGTGCCACAACTACTGAGCTTGCACTCTAGAACTCGCGAGCCACAACTACTGAGCCCATGTGCCACAACTACTGAAGCCCGCGCGCCTAGAGCCTGTGCTCTGCAACAAGAGAAGCCACCTTAAGGAGAGACCTGTGCACTGCAACGAAGAGTAGCCGCCTCCGCTCACTACCACTAAAAAGAAAGCCCTCATGCAGCAACGAAGACCCAAGGCAGCCAAAAATAAATAGATAAATAAATTTATTTTTTTAAAAAAGTGTTTATCTCAGGTTCCTAAGACCCAACAAGTGACAACTAATTGAATATATTAGAATAACATAATCATTAAAATTTACATTTGAACATAGAGAACTCCCGTACAAAATAGTAAGCACATGTCAAAGATTTATTTAATTCATTCTTTGTTTTTTTAACTTTTTTAAAAAATTAATTTATTTATTTTTGGCTGCGTTGAGTGTTGTTGCTGCACATGGGCTTTCTCTAGTTGCAGCGCAGGGGCTACTCTTCATTGCGGTGGCCTCTCTTGCAGAGCACGGGCTCTAGGCACCCGGGCTTCAGCAGTTGTGGCACGTGGGCTCAGTAGTTGTGGCTTGTGGGCTCTAGAGCGCAGGCTCAGTAGTTGTGGCGCACGGGCTTACTTGCTCCACGGCTTGTGGGATCTTCCTGGACCAGGGATCGAACCCGCGTCCCCTGCATTGGCAGGTGGATTCTTAACTACTGCACTACCAAGGAAGTCCCTTAACTCGTTTTTGAGAGAACAGCAGGAGGATAAAGATGGGTCAAAGGAAAATATGAGAAACATAATATAGTCACTGGTCAGTGGAACACAGAATGCTGGAATAAGACTGCAAAGTTGAATAAGAAAAAAAATAATGTCCTACAAGGCCATAAAACTGTAAACTTTGAGGTTATCTTTTCTGTCAGACAGAATTCATTTGCATCTATTTGCAAACAAAAATCATTTGTAACTTATCCATTTTTTTCCCCAGAAGTAACGAATTCATTAAAAATTTTTAATTTAATTCACTTTAAATTAATTTTTAAAATTGTAGTAAAATACATATAGCATAAAATTTACCATCTTAACCATTTTTAAGTGTACAGTTCACTAGTGTTAAGTCCGTTCACATGGTTCTGCAAAGAATCCGCTCACATGGTTCTGCAAACAATCTGAAGAACCCTTTTCATCTTGTAAAACTCTGTACCCACTAGATGACAACTCATCATTCCCCTCTGCTCCCAGCGCCTACCAACCACCATTCTACTTTCTGTCTCTATAAATTTGAACGCACTAGATAGCTCGTATAAGTGAATCAAATAGCTTTTGCTTTTTGCTTATTTCACTTAGCATAATGTCGTCAAAGTTCATCCATGTTGTAACGTGTCAGAATTTCCTTCCTTTTTAAGGCTAATCCCACTGTATGTATATACAACATTTCGCTTGTCCATTTATCTGCTGGTGGATTTTGGGGTTGCTTCCACCTTTTGGCTATTGTGAATAATACTGCTATGAACGTGGGTGTACAAATATCTCTTCAAGACCCTGCTTTCAATTTTTGGGATATACCCAAGTGAAATTGGTGGAGCAACTTTTCCATCTGACTTTACAGAGTCAGGACCCTAATCAATATTAAATATTAAACCCAATAAAATTTCCTTCCCCTAAAGCATCAGGTGACAGACAAGTGGGCCAGTTAGCCAATATCCTAATCTGACTGTGAACGAGCTTGCAGAAATCTTTTTGCCTTATTTCCAACTTTTGGATAATTTTTCTTCGCTGTCTCCCTCCAAGGGTAGAGGCTCTGTACTGCTGGCCATTTGATCCCCAGCGACTAGGCCCAGAAGTACTGTTGATGACTGAGGTATCATGAAAGCCTACATCATTTGGCTGTTGTGAGGATGTTGCGAGATGATGCTTGTGAACTGCCTGTCAAAGTCTGGCACATAGTGGCTGCTTAAGACCTAGGAATAGTCAATATTATTGTTATGAGGCAGCTGGGGGTGGGGGCCGGTTATGACTCAGAGGAGGGGGCAGCCATGACTCCTGTCATGGAGGGCAACTGTCCTAGATGGGAGACAGGCAGGGCCTTGGGGCCTGGGTGCTTCCAAGCCATAATGCTGGGGGAGCTAATGTCTCTTTTTAGGAATCTCCACGGGACATTTGCTTCCTCAGGCACCATAGGAGCACTGATGGCTTGGCTGATCAGCTATAAGCCAGCCTTGTTTGGGTTCCTATTACTTCTGCTGTTGCTTAGCAACTGGCTGGTCAAGTACGAACTCGAGCCCACGCCCCCAGAGCCCCAGCAGGTGAGCAAGAGGGACCTTAGTTTCAGCTGAGAGTGATGGGATAGTCGCAGCTAGATTGGGGGGTGGGAAGACAGAGAAGGTGTCAGGACAATGCGGCAAGACTAAGGAATCCGGCTCTGGTCTAAGACCTTGCTCTGCAGCTCCCTCTCGGGTGATAGAGGACAAACCACTTCCTTCACAAAGTTTCAGTTGCCTCAGCTGAAGAATAGGGCCCATCCCAGACTCTTCTACTTCATGTTTGATGACAACATGCTTTGACAACAGTAACGACTGCTTTAAAGTGGGAAAAATTTAAATGGATAAATTTAAAAACATGTATAACGTAGATAAATCTCTAAAACTGAATAATGAAGACAGCAGAAATGTACCTAGATTATGACGTCTTTTATGTAAAGTTAAAAAACATGCAAAACAATATCCTGCCTAGTTTATGGATGCCTATGTATAGTGAAAGTACATTCAGGCAGGATTTCTCAGCCTCTGCACGATTGACATTTGGGGCTGGGTAACTCTTTGTGATGAGAGACTGTCCTGTGCAATGCTGAATTTTTGGCAGCATCCCTAGCCTCTACCCACAAGATGCCAATAGCACTCCTCACCCCTCTTGTGGCAACCAAATATTTCTCCACACGTTGCCAAATGTCCCCAGGGGAGGGCAAAATAGCCTCCCACTGAGAACTGGTGTAAAGTGGTGTAAAGAAATGCATGGAAAAAATAAATACCACATTCAGGATTGCAGTTGAGATAAGGTTCAGGGAGGGAGGGGAACACTCTAGGAGCAGAATCCACAGAGAACTTCAGTTACCGTTGTGATATTTTAGGGATCATGGGTATTTGTTGTAATATTTACTTTTTTTGCATGTCTGAAATATTTAATTCTTAAATGGTTTTAAAGACTAGGAATTTGTAGCTGAATCCTAAAAAAAAAAAAAATTGTGTCCTTACCAACTGCATGCAGTGGTGGGGGAGGGAGCAGATAAAGATGACAGAGATAAGAGCATTTCATGAGACCACTGAGACTTGGAGATTTTATGAGGCCTGACTAAACTCTCAAAGAGGCATGTTGAGAAAAGCACAAGCTCTGGAGACACATATATTTGGGTTAAGGGTTTTAAGTCCTCGGTGGGTGCAGATTAGCCGGCCATTTCACTTATTCCTGTGAACCAAAGGCAGCTCTGGATCCTGGGAGTTTGGGGGCTTTCATGCAGGCTGGGTGATGCTGAGAAAGGGACCTTCCCTCACTGGGCCCCATTCTCTCACCCACAAGATGTGGCAAAGAGGCTCTCCTTAGATGCTGGTCGTGAAATTGATTGAGATGATTGTAACTCAACTGGCATGGGAAAGGATTATCACTATTAACCAACTTTTCCTCTTTTCGTGGTGATGGGGAGTTTAGGAAGAGAAGACAAAGACTTGCGAGGCCAAACCCAAGAGCAACTGCCTGAACACAAAAGAAGTGGAGAGGCTGCACGCCTGCTTTGCCCTCCAGGACAAGATCCTTGAACGGCTTATGTTCAGTGAAATGAAGCTGAAGGTCTTAGAAAATCAGGTGTTCATCGTATGGAATAGAATGAATCACCACAAGCGGTCAAGCCGACAGTGGACTTTTCCAGCGGGGAAACACAGAATGAGGAGACGGGAATCTATGTTCTCCATCATCTCTGACTGCACTTCCAATTCCCCCTAACGAGGTCCCAGAGACTGCGGGGGGCTAGCCTCTTCTGTTGTTACCTTTCCTCAGTAAAGCCCAGTCAGAGACTATTTTCTTAGTAAATCACACTGGAGAGGAGGATTAGAGGCTGAAATTCATCGCCTCTTGAAAAGAAGTTTGTACTCACCAGGTCAGCCACATAGCACCCTATGACACAACCTGATGGGAGCTCTTGAACCCAGCCCTTCCTCTCTTTCAGTTGGACCACCTTGACCCTGGTCCAGGGCCCTCTACCTGTTCACCTTGGGTCTTTCAACAGCCTCCCCAGTGCTGTCCCAGCCTCCAGTCTCCCCCTCCCCCTGCACTCAGAGGCCACAAGCAAGCCCTGCCAAGCACAGCTCTGAGCATGATCATTGCCTATTCTTGAGCCAATGCCTTGCCGTGATTGACAGAATAAAAGCCACACTCCTCACCATGGTGTTCAGGCCCCCCATGATCTGACCTCCTTCCCAACCTTTTTCCCCCATTATTCTCCCTCACATGCTTTTTACCCTATACCAGAGTATCCTGAACATCAGTCAGTAGTGTACCTACCACCTTTGTGATTTTTGCCATAGCTGTGAACCACCTGAATGCGTAACTAAATATTGTCCCTTTAAATCAACTATATTTTCCTTAATAAATTTATCTGTAAAGGAAAATAATAATAAAAATAAAAAATTTATCTGTAAGTTAAAAAAAAACCAGTATCATTGTTTGAAATAGAACCTAACAGTCAAAATAAAGACAGTGAAAACAAAACAATGTTGTGAAGTTCCAGCCAGAGCTTGGTTGCCCACTTGAAGATCTGAATCTGTAAAATTTGGGTTAAAAAGGGAGATTAGTGAGTGTTAGCGTTTGCAAGATATGCCAGCACTCAGCTGAGACTTTTCTCCATTAAGGAGAATTGAGAAGGACCCTCTGCCTCGCTGTGGGATCCAGTGTGGCTTAATGCCTTATTGGTGTCCCACTTAAAATCATCTCTCTTAGCAAAAGTCTCATGCGCTCTCATCAAATTAGGTGATCAGCCATCCCCCAAATGCAGCCACATCTTTGCTCACGTGGTTTCTTCCCCTGGAATCCCTTATCTTCCCCTTTCTGCTGTTACAATTCTTTGCTTCTTTCAAATCCACCACCTCCGGAAAGCTTCCCTCAGCCCAGCTGTAAAGAGTCTCTTTCCTTAGTGGTCTCCCAGCATTTTATCCGTAATTCTACGATAGAATGTATGACGATCTGCTGGGATTTGGTTTGTAAATGTTTCTATACTCCCTCCCCACTCTCCAACTAGATTATAGACTCTTTGAGGGCAAGCACAGCATCTTTTTTTTTTTTAATAAATAAATTTATTTATTTTATTTATTTATTTTTGGCTGCATTGGGTCTTTGTTGCTGCGCGCAGACTTTCTCTAGTTGTGGTGAGCGGGGGGGCTGCTCTTTGTTGCAGTGCACGTGCTTCTCATTGCGGTGGCTTCTCTTGTTGTGCAGCATGGGCTCTACGCGCACGGGCTTCATTAGTTGTGGCACACAGGCTCAGTTGCTGTGGCGCATGGGGTTAGTTGCTCCTCGGCATGTGGGATCTTCCCAGACCAGGACTCGAACCTGTGTCCCCTGCGTTGGCAGGTGGATTCTTAACCACTGTGCCACCAGGGAAACCCAAACACAGCATCTTGTTCATCTGTATATCCCCCTCATAGCACCTAACACAGTGGCTCGTATACAGTCAGTGCTCAATAAATAACATCTATGACTGTCAATCACAGTCTTATATGTCCTGACATTTTCTCTGCCCTTTCATTTTATGATTTTTCTATATCCTATTTTGTTTAGAGCAGGATACCTGGAGCTAAACTCCCTGGCTTTAGATCCCAGCTCTATCAGCTCTTAGCTGTGTGATCTTGGATGATGAATAAACTGAGTGCTGTACCTCAGTTTCCTCAACTATAAAATGGCCTTATCAATTGCTGTGAGGCTTCGATGAGTTACGACACTTCTTCAGGTCTTTGCTCAAATGATCCCTTCCTAGTGAGGACTCCTGTGACTGCCCTATCTAAAATCGCAACCCTCCCTTGTGTGTTGTATCTTCTACTTGCCCTCCAAGCCCACTCTCCATCCTTCTGCCTTTTCTGCCAGGGGGCCAACCTGCATCATCAGGTTCCTATACCCTGTGGCTTCCAGTTGAGTTTGGCCGACAGGGATCCCTGGCAGAGGATGAGAGGGAAGGAGGAGGTTGGGATGCTTATGCCTCTTGTGGGGTTGCCTTGGGCTGGTTTGAGGCTGGCTGGGTCATCACAGAGGAGGCTCTCTCTACAAGGCCTTCTTCCAGTTCCCTTCTGGCCCAAGGGCAGTAGCATCCCCCCAGTTACCAGTCCAGGGGTACTGCACCACACTTGTGGATTCCCTATAGCCTGCCCACACCTTTGTAAATAGTCCCTTTTACACAGCTTCATGGGCCGTTGCTAATGGTCTTGCTGTATGGCCAGGCCTTTGGACCACCCAAAACGGGACCATTAGGAGAATGTCCATATGGTAACCCCTGCTGTGGAGATGGGTACAACAATTCAGCCACAAACTCGATCTATATGTGACATATGAATGAGCCCACAGTAAGGCACTGCATCTTGAAGAGAGCATCTGGAATGAAAAAGCTGATTAAGACTATGTGGCCATCATAACCACTTTAGTTCACTAGGTGCATGCCTGGACCTATCACAACAGTGAAACTACCACGGCGGTTTGAGGGAGTCCAGTGAGGACTCATTTGACCTATGAAGTCACTGGTGCTCACGGAATGTGTATTACTTGCAGGAACGTTGGCCTGTGGCTCAAGGTGGCTCAAAGTGGCACAATGACCTTTGGATCTGACTAGTTCACAATTGCCATGGATTCTGACTACCATGAACATGGTTTAGGTACATGGGGTGACTGTTCTCTTCCACCAAGCAGGTAGAACCTAGACTCTTAAGGCTCTGATGGGCATCTTTTTCATGTGCTGGAATTCCCAGGTATGATATAATATGATGATGGAATTATCTTTACGGCACTGCCCTCCATCTGTCCACGTGGAATTCACTTGCTCTTCCACTCTTGCCACCTGCAGGTGGTGGGTACAAATGAGCCTTTGTATGGTTGGCTCAAGGAGCAATTACCTTAGCCACTCCCTCATCCTCTGTGGGCACCTAAGAGGGGAACAAGTCCCCCTGATGTGTCAGGAAGTATGGTGACTCCTGGGTTCCTATGGAGGTAAATGTTCTGAGAAAGGACAGATCAACTAGCTCATCCCAGGCACACGACAGATCCCAGAAAATCTAGCAAGAACATAGGCAAGCAATTTCAGGAAATAGACTGGGGTGGAGGGGTAAATAACCTCTCTCCTCTTCTTCCAGATCTGAACAGGCAATGCTAAACAGCCTTGAGCAGCTGCTCAGGCCGGGGCCCGTGGCATGAACCTGTCACAGTACTGAATATGCCATTCCTACCCCTTCCCACCACGCCCAGCTACGGGAGACCTTATTGGTATCTCACTCTCTGACAATGGCAAGGACATCGCTCCCAGCTGCTGTGCCTTGGGCCTTCACAATCATGTTCTCAACCTCTTCATGGATAATGTTGAGGCCAGCTGGAAGAATATTGAGCAGTGCGCTTTGTAACCCCAAAACTATTTTGTATTCTAGATATAGGTCCTTCATTGCTTTCTCCTTGGACATAATGCCACCTGCATATCAACCTTCATAATAACCCAAGATCTGTGGGCAAGGCAACATTCCCAGCACCAGCCTCTGGTACCATTGACAAGACACTCCTGGGTATTAAGTACATGGGTTTCCCTATTTTATGCAGGTTTTCCTCCCCTAGATAGGTGGAACCATAGAAAGGAAATTACTATGGGGATAGCCAGGGTTCTCACTGTCAAGGTTATCATGAATCCTTAGCTCAGGATATAACCACATAGCTTTGGACTATTTGCTGGCCAACCAGGGGAATAACCATACTCCCTGGCCAATATCTCCTGCTGCTTCTGGGTTAACACCTTCAGACAAGTCAAGAAGCTCATGCAGCTACCGTAGGAGCAAGTCCAATGCCTGCAGACCACTCCTCCATCTGAACCTGGGGCTCTCTCCCCAGGCTTGGCACAGACTCCATGACCAGATGGCTCAGGCCTCCACAATGGGCTTTGCACTATTACTCCAGGCCTCCCTCTAGCATTAATGTCTCCTCCAGCATTGCCAACACCATTGGAAATACCTTATAAGCTCAGCTGATTTCTCCCCTTGTTGATTTCTATGCCCGTTTGGCAGGCTTATGTTTCAGGAGCCCCTAGGTCAGGGGGTGGACCTTGGAAAAACAATTTGGACTTTACTGGAAAACTCTGGGTACTCGCTCCAGGTTCCTAGCAGTGAGATAGCAGGTGGGCTCCAGAGGGGCCTCCCTTCCCAAAGCAGAAATGATTCCACATGGTCTCTACTTCCCCTGGGGTCTCCAGGGGCCCTCAGCACTGCAAACAATTCCCCTGGTACCTGAGCTCAGACCACATCTTCTTTACTTGCAAGACTGACCTCACATTTGCCAAAAAAAAGTAGTGAAGGGAATGAGGGGTCCCTCTCCTGGAGCACATTCCAGGATGTTTCTAGCTATGCCCTGACCCCCATATCTCTCTCCACATGATGACAAGAGGTTGGATGGACAACCCAATGCCTCATTCAGTGGCTGACCCTCTGCCTTCAAGTTTTTCCAGTAAAGCCCCATTTGCACCTGTGCTGCGTGCACTTTCAGTACTTCACCCAGTACTCTCCTGGACCTCAGGGCTCAGTCCTCAGATCCCTTCTTTACTCCTTCTCACTCCCTTGTTAATGGCTTTAAATATCATCTACTGTTACATGTCAATGATTTTCTAAATTGTGTCTTTGTTACAGACCTCTACATCCCAGACTCAAATGTGCAACTGCCTACTTTCACACCTTCACTCAGACATCTCAAAATCCATACAGTCAATCCTGAAC